CTAAGTTCAAACTCCAGTACTGGTTCATGCACACACATGCACATATGCATGCACACACACAGAGCTGAAACAATCCAACTATGTTTAAATGTAGGATTAGATATTCAAAAGTATGCAGCCCCCATGATGGAATACAGATGGCTTTATGAGAAGAGGGAGAGGGACCAGAAGAGACAGAGGTACACACCACCATGTCTACCCCCTCCTTCTACATTTAAAATGCCTGACACAGAGGTTTTCTCTCTTTTTTAAAATTCTTTTTCATTTTTCTTAGCATATATTAGTTATGCAAAGGGATTGTAGTATTTCCATACATGAACACAATGTACCCCAAATTTACCACTTTCATTACTCTCCCTCATCTCTTCTTGCTCCCTCTTAAAATAATTTCAACAGGATTTATTGTTCTGTTCTCATATTATTCATTTATTTATTATTTTATTTACTGTATGTGTTGCTTTTACTGGAGCTTCAACTCAGGGCTTCACACTCTGTCTTGGCTTTTTGCACTCACAACCTGCTCTCTACTACTTAAGCTACTTCTAGTGTCTTGCTAGTTAATTGGAGATAAGCACATTGAACTTTTGTTTTCTCGGTCCTCAAATCTTAGCCTCCTGAGTAGCTGGGATTATAGCAGTTTTACACGGTGCCTAGATCTATTCTCTTACGTAAGTACTTCAACCATATTCACCCCTGCTATAGTCTATCCTTTTGTTCTGCCATTCCTAATGGTACTCACCCTCTGAACCCATTTTACACTCTTGTTGTTTATTTTTAAGGACTAGAATCTGAATATGAGGATATATTGTCTGTCTTTCTTAGTCTGGTTTATTTTGCTTGATGTTCCATCATCCATTTTCCTACACATTACATGTTTAAACAATACTCTATTGTGTGTGTACTTCACATTTTTATATTTTTATTAATACCAATTAGTTATACAAGGAAGGCTCTTTTGAGCACATTCATATATGAATACAATGTACCTTAATCAGACTCACCCCCTCCTCCATACCACGTTTTCTTTGTCCATTCAGCTGGTAGGAACCTATTTTTGCCATGATGAATACTGCTGCTATAAACATGGATGAGCTGGTATCTTGATTGCCATGTTGACTTACATTCCATGAGATATACGCTCAGGAATAATACAAGAGCATATAGTTGTTCTATCCTTAGGTTTTTGTTTGGTTTGGTTACCAATCCTGGGGCTTGAACTCAGGGTCTGAGCCCTGTCCCTGAGCTTTTTTTGCTCAAGGCTAGAACTCTACCACTTGAGCCACAGGTCTACTTCTGGCTTTTTGGTTATTAACTGGAAATAAGAGTCTGACAGACTTTCCTACCAGCTGGCTTCAAACCTTGATCCTCATCAAGCTAGGCTTACAGGTGTGGACCACCAACTCTGAGCTCATCTTTAGTTTTTTTAGGGAACCTCCATAATGATTTCCATGATTATACTAAGTTACATTCCCACCTATAGGTGTAAGAATTCCTTTTCTTCACATTTTCCAGCATTTGTGGTTAGTTTGTTTTCTTGCTGATGTGATGTCCTTCTGACTGGAGTGAGATGAAATCTCAATGCCATTTTGACATATGTAAATACATTTCTTTATGTATTTATTACTAGTACTTCATTTAAAAACTAATTACCACAGGCTGGGAAGGTGGCTCAGTGGTAGAGCACTTGCCTTGCATGCATGAGGCCCTGGGTTCGATTCCTCAGCACCACATAAGCAAAAAAGAAAAAAAGCTGGAAGTGGCGCTGTGGCTCAAGTGGTAGAGCGCTAGCCTTGAGCTGAAGAGCTGAGGGACAGCTCCCAGGCCCAGAGTTCAGGCCCCACAACTGGACCAAAAAACAAAAACAACTAATTACCAATTTATTAAATAGTCTTTTGCTATTTAATTTTTAGAGTTCTGTATATATTTATGGAACCATTATGTATTTTTAATATCAATTCTTTATCTGATGAGTAAATGGCAAAGAACAACTTATCTCCAAGTCACCGGCAAAGAGCTGAGGCATGGCTCAAGTGAGAGCAGAGGCCCTGATTTCAAGCCCAGAACTGTCATACACTCACCTGCAGGTACACACACAAACCATACAAGGACTAGTTTCTGCACGTGAGAAAGAACATGCTTAATATGATGGTCTCATGTTTGATCCCATGTTTGAACACAGTGAGCAAGAGGACTGATATTTATTTCCCATAGCACATTCCATTATGCACTGCACGTAAGATAGCTACAAATGTCTACTAACTAGTTTGATAATTTTATGTGAGTTGTATAAGTTTTAAAATCAAAATTCCTTTTGGTGAAGTTTTTTTTAAGAAAGTAGAACAGAAAATTACCACACTGTGCATGACGATGGCCCTTGGAATGCAGTCATTTTTCCCTGAAATTTGTGTCAGGCTGATAATCTACTAAGTGAATGAAATTTTTTAGAAGATATAATCTTCAAAAGTAATTTTCTAGTAGGGGAAAAAAATGGCTTGGGCAAAACAGAGGATGCCCAAAACTACTCTTACTACTGGGTTAAAAAAAATACTCCAAGATCAGTTCTAAGGTATTGAACAATAAAGTTATTATGTGCTAGAATATGAGTTTTAACCTAAACTGGTCTCTATTTTCTGTTTCCAAGAATAATGCATGAGAAAATAGTTTAAATTGCTGTAGAAAATACCTAACAACTTTTAGAATGCTTCAGCGATGATGAACAAAAATCGTTTCCCATTTCATCTTTGGTGGATAATATGAATACCCAATCTTTGAAACAAATAAAATTACTATGGTCACTCTGCTTATTTTTTTTTTCCTAACCCATTTTAAAAAGTGAAACTTCACAATAGAGAACACCAAGAAGTTCTTCAACAGTTGGTGCTGCTGGAATTTTTCAAAACATGACAAACATGAAGAAAAAGAACTGGCGTTAGAGGCCCAGCATTAAAGATCCTACAACTTGCCAGGCGCCGGTGGCTCACGCCTGTAACCCTGCCTACTCCGGAGGCTGAGATCTGAGGATCAGGGTTCAAAGCCAGCCTGGACAGGAAAGTCCGTGAGACTCCAATAAACCATCAGAAAACCAGAAGTGGCGCTGTGGCTCAAGTGGTAGAGCGCTGGCCTTGAGCTGAAGAGCTAAGGGACAGCGCCCAGGCCCAGAGTTCAAGCCCCATTATTGACCCCCCCCCCAAAAAAAAGACCCACAGCTCTAATGGCTAACACCAAAGCTCTGCTTACTCACCTACGGGGAAGGAGGCTGCGAGAACGAAATGACCACGAAGCAAGCACTGCCCCTGAAACTGGATGAACGGTAATTATCATAACCATCATCATTCTTACCCTCAAGTTCACCTAACTGTAAGTAATCCGTTATAATTACATACCGGACATGTACAAATGTGTAATTACACGCATCACTATGCGTGTACATTTCGGCGTGCATTTCTCTACAAAGCCGTCTTTCAAAGGACACCCGAAGCTGCTAGAAGTGAGCGCACGCTGCACGGTGCAGGCTCCCTCCCGGCGCGGACCAGGTGCCGGGGTGCGCGGGCGGGCCCTGCCCGACCGGCTGGGGCTGGGCCGCAAGGGGAGGCCGAGCTCGGGCCTAGATGGAGCGCCCCGAGCCGGGACCCCCGCAGCGCGGCGGGTCCTGAGCCCTCGGCCCGCGCCACCCCACCCGCCCGCCTTGGCGGGAATGAGTGACAGCGACAGCAGATGCAGCGTGCCTCCCCACTTCCCCCCCACCCCACCCCCCTAGTTTGGCGCCACGGACCCAGGAACCAGAGTTTGACTCGGGAAAAACTGCCTTGCCCGCCTCGCGCCGGCCGTCGGAAGTCTCCCCCCCTCCGCTTCTTGCAAACCTCTGACGTCGCGGCTGCCTCTCCAAACCCGCCTGCGAGAGACGGCGCGCCGGGCACGAAGCTTCGCGGGAGCGTCCACCGCTCTCCTCCCCGGCCTTCCCAACCCAGACGACGACGGAGCCCGCAGACCCGCCCGCCCTCCCCCGCCC